GCCTGGCCCTTTTACAGGGGCATTGTCCCCTGCTCCCTGCCTGCAGGGAGATAAGCAGATCCAAGCAGATCCAAGCAGATCCAAGCAGATCCAAGCAGATCCAAGCAGTGTGGTGAACTGCAGCATGAGGACAGTGTATTGTGAGAGGTAGTTCTGGGCCTCTCTGATACTGAGAGTTTAGTGCAGGTCTGAGGTGCTGTCAGAGCCCTGTGGCCTCTGGAGGGAGGTGGCAGAGGGATGTGGCAGTCACAGAGTAGAGCACAGACCTCTGGTCAGAGGATGTTTGCCACTGGGGAAGGGCCCTGTGGGAGTCAAGAAGACAAGAGGGGTTCAGCAGTGGAGGGGACAGTCCTGAGGCCATGTCCAGGGCAGGCTGGCCTGGGTGGCTGCACAGCTCACACAGCTTGTTGTGTTTTTCAGGATGAGCTCTCCCACATCAATGCTCGGCTCAACATGGGCATCCTTGGATGTGAGTATCCCTTTGCCAGGGGCTGGGTTGGGGAGCCCTCCTGGCTGCTGTCACAGCTGTGCAAGCAGCAGCACTGCCCTCCCTCCCTCACCTGCCTCTCCTTTCTGCAGCCTACGATCCTCAGCAGATCTTCAAGTGCAAGGGGACCTTTGTGGGCCACCAGGGCCCCGTGTGGTGTCTGTGTGTGTACTCCATAGGAGACTTGCTCTTCAGTGGCTCCTCAGACAAAACCATTAAGGTAAGAGCTTCCCTCTTCCACGCACCTTCTGCATTTGCACATGGAACAGAAGCTGAGTTCGTTTGTAGGGTGGGTGGATGTTGCTTCCTAAAGTTTCCTCCAAAGAATCAAATGATTCTTTATGATTATAGTTGGACAAAATTCTCTGCAAGGAAACATTATGTGCTAGTGAAATTGAGAGACAAGCAGAGATCTTTGCAAGGCCCTGATGAGAATCTCATTCCTGCAGCTGCTGGGTTTGCTTTATGTGGCATTTAGGGTATTCAGGACTATTTCAGCTTCTGATTTTATGTTCCTTTGTTATAAAAAGTCATCTTAGAACAAAACATTTGTCCCTGATCCAAAGTGTCCTTTCCTATTTTATGGCCTGTTTGTTTTTCTTTGTCCTGTTTTCAGTAACTCAGGCTGACAGCACTGCCCCGTGCAGCCTCAGCAGCCCTTCCCAGTGTCCCTGTGGTGGCTGCTGGTGGCTGCTGGCCAGGCTGGGGTCCCCAGAGCTGCCACAGCTAGCCCTGCCAGGAGCAGAGCTGTGCTTCAGTTTCCTTGGCTGTAGAGCCACGTGGAAGGAAATGGGTATTGCTGTAGATTAGGGAAGGAAAGCAGATTTCTCCTCTGTGGGCACCACGTTCCTCTTGAGAGAGCCCTGTGTGCTCAGGGGAAGCCTCTGCAGTGGCAGGGGAGCTGAGCTGTGCCTCTGGAGCCCTGGGATGGGTGGGCACTGCTGCAGCAGGAGCCCGAGAGCTGCTCCTGTGTCTGGGGGGCTGTGCTGGCCTGTGCTGAGGGAGCAGAGCTGCAGCAGCTGCTGCCTGTGCTAGCTGCAGCCTGACCCTCTGCCCTGCATTGCCTGTGCTAGCCCAGGGGACAGGGCTGGCAGTGCCCAGGGCTGGCAGTGCCCAGGGCTGGCAGGCAGTGCCCAGGGGACAGGGCTGGCAGTGCCCAGGGCTGGCAGTGCCCAGGGCTGTCAGGCAGTGCCCAGGGGACAGGGCTGGCAGTGCCCAGGGGACAGGGGACAGACAGTGCCCAGAGCTGTCAGGCAGTGCCCAGGGGACAGGCAGTGCCCAGAGCTGTCAGGCAGTGCCCAGGGGACAGGCAATGCCCAGGGCTGGTAGTGCCCAGGGGACAAGCAGTGCCCAGGGGACAAGCAGTTCCCAGGGCTGTCAGGCAGTGCCCAGGGTTGGCTGGCAGTGCCCAGGGGACATGCAGTGCCCAGGGGACAGGCAGCCTGTTCCTCCTCTGGGTGCTGACATCCTGCCCAGGCTGCAGCCTCTGCCCTGTGCTTTCTGTTAGGTGTGGGACACCTGCACCACATACAAGTGCCAAAAGACCCTGGAGGGTCACGATGGAATTGTGCTGGCTCTCTGCATCCAGGGGTGAGTGAGGAGGGGTGCCTGTGCCTGGGGAGAGTGGGGACAGCCCTGGGGGCCCTGAGCATGCCCTCACAATTCCCATCCTCTGTCCTGCATGTGCCAGATTGGGCATGAGAGGCGCATCTTGCCTCCTTGCTCTGGAAAAATGAACAAAGAGTGTGTCTGTCTGGTCTGCCCCGTGTCCTGGTTTCCTCCCTGCTCACCAGGAGGGTGCTTGGCTCCCTGCTCCAAGGGCCAGTCCACGCTGGCCTCCCACAGGAGCTGGGCCTGCCCTGGGTGCGTGTGCACAGCCTTGGCCCAGCAAGGGCTGCAGCTCCTGTCCCCAGGGCCTGGGGAGGAGGTGACACCTGCCATGGCACAGCTCCTGTCCCCAGGGCCTGGGGAGGAGGTGACACCTGCCATGGCACAGCTCCTGTGCCCAGGGCCTGGGGAGGAGGTGACACCTGCCATGGCACTGTCCCTCGGTGACCCCCTTTGTGTCATTGCAGGAACAAGCTGTACAGTGGCTCTGCTGACTGCACCATCATCGTGAGTACAACAGCAGCAGGGGCTGCCCCTCCTGTGCCAGGGGGCATTGATGCCCCTCCTGTGCTGTATCCACCCCTGGGGTGGGCTCGGGGTTCCTGCAGGCTGCATTTCCCCCTCCCAGCTCCTGCAGGGGGTTGTGCTCTGGGCTGGGGCAGGGTGGGCTGCCAAGCCTCTCATGGGTGCTCTGCTTTGGTGGGCTTGACAGTGCTGGATTTGATCTTTTCCCAGCTAAGCCATTCCATGACTCTTGTTTGCAGGTCTGGGATATTCAAAACCTGCAGAAGGTGAACACGATCCGAGCACACGACAATCCTGTTTGCACTTTGGTCTCCTCACACAACATGCTCTTCAGTGGCTCCCTCAAAGCCATCAAGGTGCAGCTCCAGGGCTCCTCTGGGGCTGCCTGGGGACCAGGGGTACAAACTCTCAGGCAGAAGTGTCCAAAGAGGAAGGAAGTGGCATTTTGACCTGTAGTTGACCTTGTTGCTAAGGTCTCCTGAGCCACAGAGCAGCCAGCACTGCAGAGGTTTAGCCCATGCTCTGTGCTCAAGGGAAAGCTGTTCTCTGGCTGCAACAACTGTATATCTCCCAGCTCTAAACCTGAGGCTGCAGCTGGAGCATCCTGGCAGTTCCTGTGCGTGTGTGTGTGTGTCCTCAGGCCCCCAACAGACCTGCCCAGACCATTGGGAATTGTGTCTGGGCTCCAGAACTGGCTGGAGATTCAGGCTGTCTGTTTTGAAACTGCCTCCAAAGGATCTTGAGTCTGCATTCTGTACCTAAAACATGCAGAAATCAGGAACAGCTTTTCAGGCTGCCCTTTAAAGCCTTGGCTAGGTTCCTGTGGTTCTGTTTCCAGCTCCTGGTGAGACAGCTTATGGGCCCGTCCATCTGTAAGAGGACTGTGCTCTTTTCTTCAGCTGGGGCCTGGAGTGGTTCAGCTCTGGAGAGGGCTCAGGGCTGGAGCAGCCACACAGCACAAGGAGAACTTGGGTTTGTCATCCCTGGCCACTTCCTGCCCATGAGCCAGGCAGGCTCAGAGTGGGGGAAGTGAGATCTGCCATCCCTGTGTGCCAGGGGTGGGAGCTCTGTGGAAGTGCAGGGCAGTTCCTTGCTGCAGCTGTGGTTTAGGCTGTGCTAGGGAAGGGTCTCTGCCAGCAAGAATGCAGGCTCCAGGCTGGCTCCCTCAGGGAATGTGCTTGCTCAGCACTTCCTGGGTTTTATCAGCAAGTCAGTGGCGAGGCAATTCCCATCAGGCAGGAGAGCTGGCACAAGGATCCCCTCAAGAGCTGTGAGGGCAGCGAGGGTGGGCACTGCTGTCCACCCTGCCCAGCCCCACTGAGCTTCCTCCCCCTGTCTCCACAGGTCTGGGATATTGTGGGCACTGAGCTCAAGCTGAAGAAGGAGCTGACAGGTCTCAACCACTGGGTTCGAGCGCTGGTGGCTTCCCAGAACTATCTCTACAGTGGATCTTACCAGACCATCAAGGTGGGCCCTGGTGACACCCTGAGCCCCTCTCCTGTTCCTCTCTGTGCTCTGCACTGGGGCAGCAGCACCAGGGGCAGCTGCTGGGATGTGAGCACTGCTGACACGTGGGGTTTTCCTGTGCTGATTCCATCTCCTCAGGCTGGGCCTCGGCAGCTGCTGGGGAGGCTCACTGGGACAAACTGGGGCCTCAGCCGTGGCGCCTGGAGGCTGCCCCAGCCTTATCTGCACTGACACTCCTGCTGATAACGGGGCAAGGTCACTGGCTGGCTGCAGAGCTGCCATAAATCCGTGTGAGGGTTCCCCTCCTCTGTGCTGGCTCAGGTTCTCATGAATAGGTCACCTCTCAGCATCTGGGGAACGCAGGAAAACTGGAAGTTGCCCTTCTCAGTGTTAATGAATCTCTGTTAATTTGTCTGCGTTGGGTTTTAGTGCTGTCAAGGACTGGGCTGTGCTGTGTGTGCACATGTGTGCAGTCACACACAAAGGGTGTGAAGTCTCCACACAATGTTTCCAGCCTGGATATAAGTTGGGCAACTAAATAAGATAACAGGGATTTGCTCTTTGGTGCTGAGCATTCCCAGCTGGATAGGTTTGTCCCTAAAGGTGTGGTCTGGGCCCACGGGAAGCCAGGCTGACTCTGTGTGTGGCAGAATGGCTGCAAGGGCTCTCCCCTGAGGAGGAGGGTCTGATCCTGCCTCTGCTCCATCCCTCTCAGATCTGGGACATCCGGAACCTGGAGTGTGTGCACGTGCTGCAGACGTCGGGAGGCAGCGTGTACTCCATCGCCGTGACCAACCACCACATCGTGTGCGGCACCTACGAGAACCTCATCCACGTACGGGCTGGGCTGCTGGCCTGGCAGGGCAGGGCTGGGGGTGGGCAGCTGCCTCGGGCAGGCCCCTGGGCACAGCACCTGCCTCTGCCCGTCCCTTGTTCACAGCACCTGGCTCTGGCTGTCCCCTGGGCACAGCACCTGGCTCTGCTCGTCCCCTGGGCACAGCACCTGGCTCTGCCTGTCCCTCAGGCACAGCACCCAGTACTGCCCATCCCCTGGGCACAGCACCTGCCTCGGGCTGTCTGCTAAGGCACAGCACCTGGCTCTACCTGTCCCCTGGGCACAGCACCTGGCCCTGCCCATACCCTCGGGCACAGCACCTGCCTCTGGCTGTCCCCTGGGCACAGCACCTGCCTCTGGCTGTACCTCGGGCACAGCACCTGGTTCTGGCTGTCCCCTGGGCACAGCACCCACTGGCACTGTGCGTGGGGGCAGGAACAGCTCTCGGGGCAGAGCTGGGTGCCCCCAGCACAGCATGATACCCAAGCCTGGCTGTCCCCACAGGTGTGGGACATCGAGACCAAGGAGCAGGTGCGCACGCTGACGGGGCACGTGGGGACAGTCTACGCCCTCGCCGTCATCTCCACGCCCGATCAAACCAAAGTCTTCAGCGCCTCCTACGACCGCTCGCTCAGGGTGAGCAGGGGGCTGGGACAGCCCAGGAGCCCGAGGGAAGGGCGGGGGACCCCAGGGACCTCCGTGTGTCACCCGTGTCACCCGTGACACGCGGCATCCCCGGTGCTGTGTGTCACCCGTGTCACCCGTGACGCGCGGCATCCCCGGTGCTGCGTGTCACCCATGTCACCCGTGTCACCCGTGACACGCGGTATCCCCGGTGCTGTGTGTCACCCATGTCACCCGTGTCACCCGTGACACGCGGCATCCCTGGTGCTGTGTGTCACCCATGTCACCCGTGTCACCCGTGACACGCGGCATCCCCGGTGCTGTGTGTCACCCGTGTCACCCGTGTCACCCGTGACGCGCGGCATCCCCGGTGCTGTGTGTCACCCGTGTCACCCGTGACACGCGGCATCCCCGGAGCTCACTCACGCTGCCCGTGTCCCCGCAGGTGTGGAGCATGGACAACATGATCTGCACCCAGACCCTGCTGCGCCACCAGGGCAGTGTCACCGCGCTGGCCGTGTCCCGCGGCCGCCTCTTCTCCGGCGCCGTGGACAGCACTGTAAAGGTGGGTCTGCCCAGGCTTCTCCTGCATGTCCAGTGCTGGAATTGGGGCATTAAATGGGTTAGGAGTCAGTGGCAGCAGGGTGGAGCCAGGTGAGGGTTGAGCTCTGCTCCTGGAGAACAAGTGAGCAGACAAGAGGGTGTAACCTCAAACTGGGCATGGGGAGGTTCAGGTTGGACATGAGGAAGAATCTCTTCATGGAAGGGGCTGCTAAGGAAGGGGCTGTCCAAGGAGGTGGTGAAGTCCTCATCCCTGGAGGGGATTTCTGGATGTGGCACTCGGTGCTTTGGGCTGGGATCAGTCACAGGTTGGATTTGATGGTCTTGGAGGTAATTTCCAACCTGATTCTGGGATTCTTTGAAACAAGGGGAGGTTCTCCACGGGCGGGAGGTTTCCGTCCTGACAGTGTTGTGGATGCTGGCAGTGCAGAGGGGAACTGGGGGGGATGAGGAGAAGCCCACAGGGCTGCTCAGGAGTCACTGCCTGCGGTGCCATCGTCTGCCCACAGGTCTGGACGTGCTAACGAGAGCGTCACACGAGTCCTGCACACTGAAAGACCAAAAACTCTCCCCTCCATCGGCCTGTGGGTGACCACACCACTGAAAGGACTGCTGCAGCTCCTCCTCACCGACACTGCCTGCTGCTGCTGCCTCGGCCGGCGGCTCTGCCCCACGGACACTCCAGGTGTTCCTCAGCTCTGCCCCACATGATTGGAAAAGAGGAAGCTGTTCCAGTGCCAGTGCCCTCCTCTGCCTGTGCCACCCCAGCTGGGGACACCCCCAGGCTGGGGCTGGGGTGACACTGGGCCTCGGGGCCAGGCCAGCACAGCCCGTGGCCAGCACCAGGACTGGACAGATCCGTGTGTCCTGGTGGGGACAGGCTGGGCCCTCTCCGTGGCAGGACTGAGCTTTAGGCTGTACCCTGGGTGGGCACCCGACCCCTTTCTGTCTCCGATATTTAATTTTACTGCCAAGGCCGATCCATGTGGGAAGAGGTGTTTCCTTGAGTAGCCAGGTACGATTTTTATGCCACAGCTAGTTCTCAAATCAAGTTCCACAAGCCCATTGTTCACCACCCTGTAATAATGGTCTCCACATTAAAGACAAAAAGCCTCCGTTGCATTTTTACTCACATTTTCTACTGTTTTTAAGATTGTAATATAGATTTGATTATTTCTTCATTGACAATAAAAGCAGAAAGAGTTGTTCCTGCCCGGTGTGAGTTATTGCAGGGAGTCAGCAGCCAGCACTGGCCCCGTGGGGTGAAAATTGAAGTGTCTGGGCCCTACATTCCATGGGGGACAGTCCCAGCCAGCCCCAGCACCCCACAGAGGCACCCAGGGGTGCCCACAGACTGTGCAGCACAAACACCCAGCAAAACACGAGGACTCGGGAGGGCCTGGGGACACAAACAGTGGTGGCAGCCCGGCAGGGGTTTTATTTTTTTATTTTTGTTTAAATATTTGTTGCCAGACTTGGTATAGGAGCAAACGTCTTCACAGCACCACGAGCCATCTACAATTCAGAATAGGAAGAATAAAGACGAGTAGAGGTGAAATCTAAGCACAGAAGAGCAGGGAGCAGCACCAAGATGCAGAGCTGGACAGATGGGATACGATACAGAGTCCATAACTTAATCATAAAAAATATATATATGTATATATCCATCATGTAGAACTTTATGGATTTTTTTTTTTAGATACATATTTTTTTCCTTTTCAACAGATATTTTCAGGCGGGTGATTTATTTATTTTTTTAAATTATTTTTAAAGTGTTTTTTTTTGTGTTTTGTTGTTTTTTTTTTTTTCCAAAAGAAATTTCAAAGTTGTGCCAAACACATCTGGATCAGCGACCACAACAGGAGAGACAGGGGAGACAGGGCAGGGAGGGAGAGGGAAGGAGGGAGAGACCACTCCACGTCTCGAGAGAGAGAAAGGAACAGCAACACTTTTGTTTGGAAACCACAAGCAAAAAATGCATTCATCAGGACTCAAGCGACTGAACCAGACTCCAACTCCAGTTTGTACAGGAATTTACAGCGGCGCATCCCGCGGGACGCGCCGGGCACACGCACCCCGCGTGCACACCCACGCACACCCACACGCACCCCGACACAGACCACAGCAAAAGCAACAAAAGGAACCAAACCAAACCCCGAAGACACTCCAAAAGAAATGAAACACCTCCAGCGTAGGAATTAACGAAAACCTCCATAAAACAAGGCACATCCTTTGAGTTCGGAACGGTGGAAAAAGAAAGACGCGACACTGAATCCCAACGGAAAACCCGACCAGAACCGCTCGCACGTACCTTCCACCCAGAGAAAAGGTAAATATTGTGCTACTCTTAGAATGAGTTTGCCACAAGACACACAGCTTAGTATAATCTAATAGTTTTTCTCAAGCTAAAATCCAGTTTTCTCTTGATTTCTTTTAAACTGCTTTATATATAATTGCTAATATTTTTAAATCTTTTAAATATATATTTGTTAAAGTTTATTTCTTTTTTATTATTTTGGGATAGGGGGAAATCTGCTTTATATCTTTTTTTTATTATTTTTTTTTCCCCTCCAATAAATTAATACTTTTTATTTTATAGCTTATCACCGTCCTGTCCCCAGGCGGGGAGGGGCCGGGCAGGGGCACGTCCCGCTGCCCCCAGGGCCACCGCCAGCCTTGCCCGCCCCCCGCCAACGCCGACCGAGAAAGAAAACAAAGTTTAAAAATCAAAATTAAAAACGGAGCAAAGAAACCCAAGTGCGTTTGCCCGCCCGGCCCCGCCACCAGCAAACGCCATGGGTGACACGCGGCTGGCGGAGCCACCGCCGGGCAGGGCTTGTGCTACATTCGGGTGGCGGTGACCCGCGGCTGGCAGGGCACGGGCGGCCACCGGACGGGTCACTCGGGAGCCCCCCGGAGCCCCGGCCCGGAGCGTGTTGCTTTGTTTCTTCTGTTGGGTTTTATTTCTGTGGTTTTTTTTTTTTTTTTTTGCTTCTGCAAAAGGGAGTCCTGCCGGAGCCGGCGCCGAGTCCGTGAGCACAATCCTGAGGTATCTTCTTCTTTGTGCAAACCCCGAGGGACGGGATGTCCGGGAGGGGACGGCTGTACAAAGGGGACGGGGGAGGGCGGCGGGGCCGGGGGGTCGTGGATCGTTGTGCCCTTGTGCCCACGTAAGCCCTGAGGTTCTCGGGGCCCTGGCGCCCCTCACTCCAGCATGGCATCCAGCTGGTCCGCCAGGTCGTCGAACATGCTGCCGATGTCGTCCAGGATGCTCACGGTGCTCTTCGACTCCACGGCCGAGCTGGGGAGCGACAGGGACGGGTCAGGGCAGGCAGGGACAGGGACATGGCACAGCCCCGGGGCCCCATGGCATGGCACTCCTGCCCCTCTGCGCTGCGGTGCCCAGCACTGTGTCCCCGGTGAACTGGGACAGTGTTCTAGCTCCGTGTCCCCAGTGTCCCTTCTACAAGACAGGCCCCAGGGCACCCACATGCCTAGGTCCTCCTGCCCATGCTGCTCCAGCAAGACGTCCTTCAGTGTCACCTCCCCAGGGCAGTTCCAGCCAGGGTCCCCTGGTGCTCCACCAGTGTCCCCCAGCACCACCCTACTCGCACCGTGGTGTCACACCTGACCCCTGTGCATGGTCCTTATGGCCTCCTGTGCTTCACCAGTGTCCCCCAGCACCATCCCACTCACACCGTGGTGTCACACCTGACCCCTGTGCATGGTCCTTATGGCCTCCTGTGCTTCACCAGTGTCCCCCAGCACCATCCCACTCACACCGTGGTGTCACACCTGACCCCTGTGCATGGTCCTTTTGGCCTCACACCCTCCCGGGGCCCCCCACCCACCCCTGCAGCCCCTTACTCTGCCGCCTGACTGTCCTCCTGCTTGATCTTCTCCTCCACCGCCTGCAGCGCAGCTGCCAGGGACGCGCTCGTCTCCTCCAGCTTCTGCTGCGCCAGCTCGGGGCCGGCAGCGTCCACGGACGGGCTGGCGATGGTGGAGCGGGGCGGCTTCACCGGCACCTGCTGGGGCTGCGCGCCGGGCGACAGGGGCTTGGCGGGGCTGGAGCAGAGCGAGGGCGGCGTGCTGGAGGGCTTGGCCGCGGGGCTCAGCTGCCGGGCTGGCGACGGGGCCGGCGTGGAGCTGGCGCTCACCGACTGGATGGCGGCGTGGGGCTTGGGGGGCTTGGGCGCCGTAGGGGGCGGAGTGGGCTTGGGGGACACCGGCGGCGGCGTGCCATGGACCCGCTTCACCTCTGCGGAGAGAAGGGAGAGGGGCAGGAGGGCGGCGGGGCCGGCTGGGACCCCCGGCGTCCGCCCCGCGGAGCGCCCGTCCCGGGGGGCTGCCGCGGCACCTACCTGGGCTGCCGGGGCTTGGGATGGGCACCTTTTTGGGGACGGGCACCGGCGGCCCAGGCATCTTCTGAGGCGGCTGCGTCAGCACGGGCTTGGGGGACACCGGCGGCTTGAAGGGCTTCTTGGGCTCGGCGGGCGGCGGGACGAGCTCGGGGCCGTCGGGGCTCCGAGGCCGGCCGCCGCTTCACGGTGCCGGTGCCGTTCTGGTACACGGCCAGCGCGGCCGGCTCCAGCGCCGGCTCCTTGTCCTTGGCTTTGGGCCGGCGCTTGACGGTGTCGGACTCGGTGAGGACGAAGCGCACGCCGTCCTGCTGGCTCTGCCTGGCCCGGATCCGCCGCTTGAGCGTGGCGCTGGCCTCCACCTTGGCCAGGTCGCCGTGGCGGTGGGCCGGGGACAGCCCCTCGCCCGCCTCGCCGCGGGCCGGCCCCAGGGGCCGCGGCCGCTGCTTCGCGGCGGGCGGCTGCCACCAGCCCGGTGACGGGGCCGCTGATGGTCCGGCGCCGGTTCACCACCTCCCCGTCCAGCCCGATGGCCTCCTTGTGCTTGACGGTGGCCAGGACGGTGGCCACGCGGGCGCGGTCGGGGCTGCCCGGGGGCGGCCCGGGCTGTAGGTAGTAGCCCTCGGGCGCCTTGGCCGGTACCGGCGCCGGCCCGGCTGCCACGTGCGGCTTCTGCAGCGCCAGGGCGCGGGCCCCGCCGCCGATGGAGGACATCTCCAGCATGGCCGCGATGCTGCGCACGCTGCCGGCGCTGCCCGTGTCCACGCTGCCGCCCAGGTCGCTCGCCCGCCGCTGCTCCCGGCGCCCCTCGCCCTCGGCGCTCGGGGCTGCGACGGCCGCCTCGCCCTCACCCTCCTTGGGGAAGTCCTCGGCCATGCCGGCGCTGGAGATGGCGGAGCTGGAGCGCTTGGGAGGGGGCGGTGGGGGTCCCTTCTTCTTGGGGCGCACGGCGAAGGACTGGCTGCGGTTGACGTTCTTGTCGCCGCCGGCGGGCGCCCGCACCGAGTGGCTGCGGCCCACGCGGCGCTGCACGGTGGCGTAGGGCCCCGCGTCGGGCACCAGCAGCTCGTCCCGCTCCTGCTCGCTGTCGGAGGCGGCGTAGCGGTTCAGGGGTGCGTGGGCGACTGGGGCAGGGAGCGGGGCGATGCCGGGCGCTCGCCGGGCGGCAGCAGCTGCGGGGTGGGCTTCACCTTGGCGGTGGCGTGAGCGGCCGCCGGGCCCTGCGGGGACGAGGGTCGTGCCTTGCCGGGGGTCTGCGGTGGAGTCAGCTGCCCGGCGGAGGCCGGGAAGGGCTGCCGGGGCTTGCCGGGCACCGGGGGCACGCTGGCGCGCTTCACGGGGTGGCCGTGCCGCGGCGGGCGGCTCTCCTTGGGCGGCGCAGGGGGGCTCTCCCCGGCCCCCTCCGCCAGGTACTCCTGGCTCTTGGAGATGGCGGCGGCCGGCGGGCCCCGCGGGCCGTCCCCCAGCAGCTCCTGCGAGCTGCTCATCAGCCGGGCGCGGCCGCCCAGCGCCGGCGGCGAGCGGTACCCGGGGGCCGCGGGGTTCGCCGCCTTCTCGGGGGGCTCCTCGGGGCCTTCGCCCGTGATGGCCACCTGCAGCTCGCTGCTGAGCTCGCTGTCCTGGAACGTGGTCATCTTGGGCGACTGGCACTCGGGCGGCTCCGGCGGCGGGGACTCGATGGCCAGCACCTCCGGGCTCGGCCCCGACGCCTTCCTCTTCAGCGTGCCCGGCTCGTACTTGCCCAGCTCGGCGCGCTGCAGCTCCGCCAGCTTCTTCACCGCCAGCATCAGCTTCTTCTGGTGGCCTGGGGGCGGCACGCGCCGTCAGTGTCCCCGCCGGGGCCGCCGCAGCCAGCGCCGCGCGCGGGGCCTTACCCAGCTTGGTGATGCCGATCTCCTGCAGGTCCTCCCAGGTGATGTCGGTGATGAAGTCGATGTTCTCGTAGCCGTTCTCCACCAGCACCTTGTAGTACTGGGACAGGCCGATCATGGAGAGCCACAGCGCCAGGTTGGCCTGGGGTGGGGTGCGGGGCTCAGCAGCAGCTGGCAGCAGGGTCTGGCCCTGCCACGCCAGGCACCCACAGGAGATCCCATCCTGCCGGGACATCCCAGCCCCGGGGAACTCTCCCTGTGCCCCACAAGCATCGTGAGCTACTGCCAGCCCTGCTCCCATGGAAGCCTCTCACTGTGCCCGGACACTGGGGCACGAGGGGTGTCACAGTGCCACATCCACCGGGGTGACAGCTGGCAGCAGCCTGGTGCTCCCTGGGGAGCTGCCAGGAGGGGACGTGGGCAGCTCTGGGACCACGGAGCCAGCTCCCACCCTTGCCCAGCGCCACCCCCCCCCCCCCCCCCNNNGGGCCCCCCCCCCCCCCTTCCCCCGGCCCCCCCCCCCCCCCCCCGGAAGACAGGAAGGGACTCATTGTCACCACGGCTGTGAGTTCTGTCCCCCTGGCCCCACACCGCCCTCACCGGTTTGTACTCGGGCAGCCACTCGGGGATGTTGAGGTTGTTGATCTCAGAGGCGATCTTCTTCCTGTGGCCCGGCTTGGTGACCCCGATGGCCGTGAGGTCCTGGGGCAGAGAGGGGGGGTCAGTGCCGCCCTGCTCCGGCCGTGCCCCCCTCCCAGCGCCCCCGGCCCCACCTCCGGCGTCATCCGGCTGATGGTGGTGATGTCGTAGCCGGCGTTGATGAAGTTGGGAGCGTAGAGCTGCAGCTGGAACTTGCAGAGCCACTGGTACACGGCCTCCGAGCTCTGGGGCGAGAGGGACAGATGGACGGGGGCAGCTCTGGGGAGGGGGACCCGCCACTCCTGCCCATGTCCCCCAAAGCTGTCCCCACGGCACCCAGTGCTCCCCACGGCACCCGGCGCTCCCCCTCACCTTCCCCTCTGACGGCGGCTCCATTTTCTTCAGCTGGGGCTCGGCGGGGGGCTGGGGGGCGTAGGGCGAGCTGGCCACGCTCTGCGACCGCGACGAACCTGCCGGAGGGGCAGCGGTCAGCGCGGCCGGGGCTGCCCAGCCCGGGCTCTGGGGGAAGGGAGAGCCGAGCCCTGCCCTGGGCGGGATGCCACAGCCCCAGCCCAGGTTGGCAGCGCCAAGGCAGGCGCAGGAGAGCGGCAGCCAGCCCACAGCAGCCCGGAGCAGCCGCGGTGCCCCGGGCAGGGCGCTGCTCCTCGGGGAGGGGCAGGCGAGCTGCTGCACCCAGCGCGGCCCCGGGCAGAGGGACTCAGCCAGACCTGTCCTGAGCCAGTGTCCCCGGAGCCCAGGCAGCAGCCAGGGGGGTCTCTATGCCCAAAACCCTCTGGCCCCACTCCTCTGGCCTTGCCACCCGCCAGGCAGCCTCGTACGAGCTGTTCATCCCTTGGTGCCCTCCCTCCAGGGTAAGGAGGGCTGCCCTGAAATTTTCCCCGCATGTTTCTGATCAGGATGAGCAAGAGAAGCCCCTTCCCTCCCCCACCAGCAACTGCATCTGCCGTGTGTGTGTCTCTGTGTGTGTGTGCGTGTGTGTGTGTGTGTGCATGTGTGTGCCCCCCACCAGCAACTGCATCTTCCGTGTGTGTCTCTCTGTGTGTGTGTGCGTGCGTGTGTGTGCATGTGTGTGTGCGTGCATCCTCCCTGCGTGTGCACCCTTCGGGCACCCGCATCCCTCTCGCGTGGGCATCCTGCTCACATGTGCATCCTTCTGCCGTGTGCATCTCCCTCACGTCTGCATCCCACTCGCGTCTGCATCGCTCCAGCGATGTTTCCCCCTCTCCCTAGCAACGTCTGCGCCCCCTCCCCGCGTGCCCACCCCCCTCCCCTGAGCGCCTAACCGAGGCAGGAGAAGGCCTGGCAGCAGCCGAAAGGCGAGAGAGTCATTTTTTACCCACACGTTTTTCTTCTGGCGACGGGTGCCGTGGCAATAAAAAAAAAGACAAATCCCTGGATCCACGGCACGGCCAGGGCTCCTCCTGCTCCGGCAGCCGGGCGGCCGCAGCACGCACCTGCGGGGATGTCCTGCGCCTTGGCCGGCCCATCGCCCACGGCAGACTCTTGCGCAGAAGCCTTCTGGGAAAGGACCGTTGCCAGCAGCTGAAAAACACCCGGCAAGGGGGGAGAGCAGGCAGGAGTGAGGCGGGCGGAGGGCGCCGCGGGCCGGGGGGTGCGTGTCGCGGGTGTCGCGGGTGTCGCGGGTACCGCGGATGCTGCGGGCGCTGCGGGCGCTGCCAGCTCGGGCGAGGGTGGGCAGAGAGGGTTGCAGCAGATTTCGGCGGCAGCGGGGAGAGCGGGAGCAGCAGATGGTGCCTTGCCGGCTGCAGGAGCCCACGGCACCGCCGCACCCCAAAGCCAGCCTGGCACATGCCCAGCCCGGGCTGCGGGCACGGGCTGCGGGGTCCCCTGTGCCCATGGACTGAGCCCCCCTGGCTGGCAGCGTGCTGTGGCCCAGGGGCACGCGGGCATGGCAGGCAGGGGGCCAGGGAACGTGGGCTGGCGGGTGCCATCGCCAGGAATGGGACAGCCCAGGGGCAGTGCAGGGCAGTTGTGCCAGTGGTGGCAGGGCAGTGTGCAGCGCGGTGTGCGGTGCTGGTGGCAGCAGTGCATGGTGGCAGTGTGCCATGTTGGTGGCAGCAATGCATTGATGACAGCGTGCCATGTTGGTGGCAGCAGTGCACTGGTGACAGTGTGCCATGCCAGTGGCAGCAGCGTCGGCAGGGCAGGGCAGAGCTCAGTGCAGAGGTCCCTGCGAGTGGCAGCACAGCCATGGCACAGCAGCCCTGATGGACCTGTGGAATGTTTTGCAGGGGCAGCACTCAGGGGCCGGGTGGAGGGGACACGCTGGTGGCCACTGTTGGTGACAGCACAGCTGGTGACACACAGGGCAAGGATGAGAGTGCACAGCACCCGGTGAAGCACAGCTGAGGTCAGGGCAGGCAGGACTGCAGCCAGCAGCAGCTGGCACGGCCGCCTTACCTTGACGCCTTCGGAGCCGGCGTGCAGGGCGTGCGCCCCGCTGCCCGCGCTCTGCCCGCTCCCCGAGCTGCGCGCCGAGGCCACGCTGCCCGTGCTGCCCAGGCTGCTGCGGTCACCACCTGCGCAGAGGAGAGGCTGTCAGGGCCCCGAGCCCTCAGGGGACCCCGCGGCGCGGCCGTGCCTGCTGGAGCCAGGTGCTCAGTGCCCGCTGGAGCCAGGTGCTCTGTGCCTGCTGGAGCCAGGTGCCCCGTGCCCGCTGGAGCCAGGTGCCCCGTGCCCCAGCAGGTACCCCGTGCCCCAGCAGGTGCCCCGTGCCCCAGCAGGTGCCCCGTGCCCGCCGTACCTGCGAAGGGTTTCCGCAGCACCCAGATCTCCTCGGCGGGGGCTGGCGCGGCCGATCCGCCCTGCGACGGTGACAGGTGGGACGGGCTCATGTCGGCCCCGCGGGACCCTTGGTGGCAGAGCAGAGAGAGTGCCCGTCAGGCGTGTGGCTCTGCCCTCGGGCTGCACGGGTTGGCACGGGGAGGTGACCACGGCCCGGGACTGGCGCTGCTGCACGTGGGGACAGCCCCACAGGGGAGGCGTGGGGAAGGCTGTGGCCGTGCCCAGGGATGCCAGAGCCATCCTAGGGCCCTGTCCCCCGCCAAGCTGGCAGAGGTGACAGTGAGCAGCCCTGGGCCCATCGTGCAGAGTGTCCCCTCCTCACTGCCAGCCAGGAACAGGCCCATGATGGGGTGTTCCAGTGCCCTGGCTGAGCCTGGACAAGGGACAGGGACTGTGTCATCCCTTCACAGACAAGATGGGGACGTGACCCAGTGCAGGAGCAAAGGGAGCTGGGCAAACTCAAGCAGTGGGGAGCAGGGTTCCCACCCCACTGTCCCCTGTCCCAGGCAGTGCTGGCCATGTCCCTGCAGCTGCCTGCACCCATCTGTGGGGACACGGGGGCCATGCAGGGCCAGGCACCAGGTGCTGAAGCCCTGGTGACACACAGGGGACACAGCAGTGCATGAGAGGACCTGGACCTCCTCTGGGGCACAGCCTGAGGGTCACCCCAGGGCACAGCTTCTCACCAGCTCACTGTGCTGGCCACCTCTGCCAGGTCCCACTCGCACCAGGGACACCCAGGGGGGAAAACAGCATCCCATGAGACAGACAACAGCCCTACAAGGCCAGTGCTGCCATGGCCCCACCACGGCTCTGCCACTGTCCTGCCAGCCACAGGGCACTGCCACCCCGCCACCAGCCATGGGGCGTTACCACCTCACTGCCAGCCACGGGGCACTGCCACCCTGCCACCAGCTGAGGGACATTGTCACCCCACTGCCAACCAGGCCAGTTCTGTTCATGGAGCTGCTCACTCCAGCAGCACCATCCATAGCAGGTGACAGGTGGCACAAGGTGATAAATGCACTGAAGGAGCACAGCAGGGGACAAACAGCCTCACCAGGTCAGGCTGGAACATCCCCGAGCTGCACATGCCACGGTCACACCAGGAGGAGCCTGGGCTTGTGCAGCTCCATGTGACCCCAGCAGGAGAGAAAGCCCCACGGAAAAGAAGTGCTCCCTTGTCCCCAGTGCCAGCACGGCCAGCCAGCGCCCCCAACACGACCTCCTTAGCCGCTGCCACCAGGGCATGTGCCAAGCCCCTGGCCCCAGCCATCGAGGACTGCACCCCTGCAACCCCTGGGTGCTTCTGACGCAGGGCCCTGCAGCATCACCCCTGCCTGTGTCCTGGGGACGGTCCCCAGGGTTCAGCTGGCTCTGCCTGCGCTGAGCCAGCCCCGAGAGCATCCCCTGGGAGAGCCCCCAGAGCCGCAGCCCCTTCCAGCTCCCGTGCACAGCCACGGCTGCTCAGAGCCGGGCCCTGCAGGGAGGCTGTGCCACAGAGCATCCCGAGCCCGTGGCACAGAGCTGTGGCACTGCGCTGCCAGCCCTGCCCTGGCACAGGGCTCTGAGTGCTCTGGGGGTGCCCACGCACCCGGAGAGGAGCGCAGGGACCACGGGGACACCGGGGTGGGGAGGGTGGCTGTGCCCTGGCACACGGAGTGCCAGCGGCGCTGGAGGGCTGCGGGGGGAGCGATGGCACGCGTGTGCCACCCCAGTGCCCCCACTGCACACGCATGCAGGCGCATGCACAGCTGCATGCACACACAGCCCCCGGCGAGGGGGAGAGGCCGAGCAGAGAGAAAAGACTCGACACACGCTTTAAAGGAAAAGGAAGGAAAATCCATGGAGAGCACGAAGCGAGCGGTGAACTACCTTGTCCGTAACGCGGCTCGTCGGCACTGCTAGGGGAGAGCCTGTGATAGCCAAAGGAACTGAAAAGAGTCTGATGGGAATGTGGTGGTGGAGGTGGAGGTGGAGGCAGGGAATGGAACGGATGGGACGAGGCGTCACCGTTTAGCACAGCAGCCCCGTAAGCCGGGAGCGGGATCTTTTGGAAGTGTTGGGGGATTGTTACAGTCTCCCATGAACCTGATAATAAAACATAACAAGAGACAAAATGAAAAGAATCCAAATGATAGAGACACGCTCAGTGCCGCCAAAAAAGAAAAAAAAAAAGAGGAAAGAAAATAAATGAAAATTAAAGAAAGAGGGGGAAAGGCAGCAAATCAAAAAAGCGACCAAAGGGACGTGGAGAAGGCAGAACCGGGCCCAGCCGGTGCGGGGCGGAGCCGAGGGGCGGCAGCGGGAGCTCAGCACACGCACAGCCCGGAGCAGGGCACGGGCACGTCCCACGGGGCTGGCACAGACACTGGCACAGCCCCAGGGGTCAGACCTCGGGGTCCCACAGCCAGGCCGGGCTGGGGCTGCAGCACCCCCGTGTCCAGGGGTGAGCTGTGACACAGCGCCTGCACCCCAAACTGCTGCCTCACTGCAGCCAGTGGAGTGGCTACAGAACTCCCCAGCCTGGCTAGCACTGCTGAGGGCCAGCTGCAGCCCAGGCGCCACAGGGCACAGCCCAGGAGACATGGATGGCATCCCAGGATGGCATCTCTGGTACTGGCACACAGCCCAGGCCTGGAGGGTGGCTCTGCCCCCTGTCCAGCACCAGGTGCCTCCAGGGTGCTGTGGGCTGCCTGGCAGCCACTTGTGCTGCCACTCTCCTGAGACACTGCTCGAGTGCCACCATGCCCTGCCCATGTCCCCGTGGTGTGGCTGTCCCCAGGATCCTGTCCCAGGGCTGGGGTGAGGTGGTTGATGTGGGGCCTTTCAGTGCTGCCTGCAGAGGCACCAGCCCCACTGAGACTCTCCTGGCAGAGGGCACAGCCCAGGGACATCCCAAGGGGCTGCACAGGAGCCCAAAGGGATGACAATGGGAATGGGGACAGGAACAGGCAGAACAGGGCAGGGGAGCGGGGGCCAATCCTTGAGATGGCCCCTGGCTGGGAAGAGTCTCTGTGTGGCAGCATCAGTCCCCTGGCACTGGTGCCCAGCCCCTGCACAGACCCTGAGCACCAGCTCCTGCCACCCCACTGCTGTGCCCATCTCCCCAAACCACAGTGACACCCCTGGGTCTCCTCATGCACCTCAAACACCTCCCCCAGCCCAAGGGCAGCCAGGGCTGACCCTGGAGCACCCCAGGGCTGACCCTCGAGCACCCCGGGGCTGACCCTCGAGCACCCCAGGGCTGAACCTCGAGCACCCCAGGGCTGACCCTCGAGCACCCCAGGGCTGACCTTGAGCACCCCGGGGCTGACCCTCGAGCACCCCAGGGCTGACCCTGGAGCACCCCAGGGCTGACCCTGGAGCACCCCAGGGCTGCCAGCACCACCCCCAAGACACCGACCCCACAGACACAACGGGAACATGGTCCCTGCACACTCAGTGGGAGCACCGGCCCCACAGGCACGAGGAGGACGCTGACCCCACACACTTTTAGGCACCATCCCCATGCACACGGTGGGGACACCGACCCCACATGCACGAGGGGCATCACCCCCCTTTGTCTTCACTGCTGCAGCCCCCGACACCCCGCTCCCCACCAAAGCAAGACGGGGCTCCCCGGGGCTGGGGGCGTAGGGGGGGTTATTTGCCTGTTCGTTTGCTTATGGCCTCGACGAGGCTGGAGGGGAAGTAGCCCACGCGGTCGTTGCCGGTGCGGTTGTCGTGGATGCAGCCCTTCCAGCGCCCGTCGGCGTGCTGCTCCAGCACCTGCGGGACAGCCCGGGTCAGGGCCGGGCCGGGGGCCGCCTCTGCCACCGGGGAGTCCCCGGCCCCCCCGGCCACACTCACGGTGATGACGTCCCCGGCTTTCACGTTGAGGCTGGTCAGGTCGTAGTTGTTGCAGTAGTCCTTGACGGCCCGGACCTGCAGAGCTGCAGAGGCGTCTGCGGGGCAGAACGGGGGTGTCACCGGCTGTCACCCCGCGGGGGTTGGCACCCCCAGCCCGGTGTCCTTTGTGCCAGACTGTGCCCTCCAACCCCCTACCCCGCAGCATCTGCTTGATCTCCTTGCTGGCCTGGCTGGTGGTGAACTGGTTGACGATGTCCAGAGCCGTCTGGTTGTAGGTGTTCCTGACGTGGGCGTTGATCCCGCTCTGCAATGGCACCGAGAGGCATTGGGAGGAGGCTGCTCCCCATCCTGCCACCCCTGGCACTCCCTAGGCCACCAGCAGAGCAGCAGCTGGAGGGCACAGCTCTCAGACCTTCGTGTGTCCCCCCGTGTGACCCTCACCCCCCAGGACCCTCTGTGCCTTGCCGTATCCCTTCTAGGACCTCAGCTCTGCTCCCTGGGAGAGATGCACAAGCTGCTCTGAGCCCCCAGCTGTGGGGTCACCCCCTTCCCACAGCCCCCGGCTGGGTTGGGGGTGCCTGGGGCCACCGGGGGGTGCCGAGGGGGGCCCTTACATCCAGCAGCAGCCGCACCACGTCCGTCTTGCCGCAGAGCGCGGCCTCGTGCAGCGCCGTGCCCGCCTTGGTCTGCCGGTTGATGTCGATGCCAGCCTGCAGCAAGAGCCTGCGGGGGCACAGCGGGGTCAGCGGGGCACGGGGGGCACTGGTGGTGCCTCCCCTGCCCGCGGCACCCACCGGATGATGTCGATGTGGCCGTTCTTGGCGGCCAGGTGCAGGGGGCTGGTGCCGTTGGGGTCGGTGGTGTCCCCCGGCTTGGGCTCCAGCAGTGCCGCGCACATGTTGCTGTTCAGGAGCAGTTGGACCACCTGGCTCAGCAAACACAGACGGAGCAGGGCTGCAAGGGCGGCTCGGCCGCCCCCCGGGGCTGCAGCCCCCGGCCCCACCTCCCCCTGCCAGCAGCCAGAGCTCCCTGCAGTGGTGGCACTGCACACCCCAGTGCCAGCCATCCCTGTGCCCCTCCAGCTGCTCCAGCAGCCCCGGGACCTCACAGTGCCCCTGTCCCTGTCCCCGGGACCTCACACTGCCCCTGTCCCTGTCCCTGGGACCTCACAGTGCCCTGCCCCAGGACCTCACAGTGCCTCTGTCCCTGTCCCCGGGACCTAACAGTGCCCTGTCCCTGCCCCCAGGGACCTCACAGTGCCCCTGTCCCTGTCCCCGGGACCTCACACTGCCCCTGTCCCTGTCCCTGGGACCTCACAGTGCCCTGCCCCAGGACCTCACACTGCCTCTGTCCCTGTCCCCGGGACCTCACAGTGCCCTGCCCCAGGACCTCACAGCGCCTCTGTCCCTGTCCCCGGGACCTCACAGGGCCCCTGTCCCTGTCCCTGGGACCTCACAGTGCCCTGCCCCAGGACCTCACAGCGCCTCTGTCCCTGTCCCCGGGACCTCACAGGGCCCCTGTCCCTGTCCCTGGGACCTCACAGTGCCCTGCCCCAGGACCTCACAGCGCCTCTGTCCCTGTCCCCGGGACCTCACAGGGCCCCTGTCCCTGTCCCTGGGACCTCACAGTGCCCTGCCCCAGGACCTCACAGTGACCTGTCCCTGCCCTGGGACCTAACAGTGCCCCTGTCCCCCCCAGGGACCTCACAGTGCCCCTGAACTTGCCCCCAGGACCTAACAGTGCCCCTGTCCCCCCCAGGGACCTCACAGTGCCTCTGTCCCTGTCCCCAGGATCTAACAGTGCCCTGTCCCTGTCCCTGGGACCTCACAGTGCCCCTGTCCCTGTCTCCGGGACCTCACAGTGCCCCTGTCCCACCAGGGACCTAACAGTGCCCCTGTCCCTGCCCCAGGACCTCACAGTGACCTGTCCCTGCCCTGGGACCTAACAGTGCCCCTGTCCGTGCCCCAGGACCTAACAGTGCCCCTGTCCCTGCCCTGGGACCTCACAGTGCCCCTGTCCCACCAGGGACCTAACAGTGCCCCTGTCCCACCCAGGACCTCACAGTGTCCCTGTCCCCTCCCAGTCCTCCTCTGGGACACCCCACCCTGCAAGAACTTACCCCGACCCGGCCAAACTCGCATGCCAGGTCCAGGGGCGTCTTCCCCGAGTTGTCCATGATGCAGGGGTTGGACTGGTGCTGCAGGAGCATCTCCGACTGGGGACAAGCAAGACCCCGGCCCGGTGAGGGCGGGGGCAGAGGGCTGGCAGCACCCCCTGCCAGCCCCGAGCCTCTCCGTACCACGTCGTAGTGCCCGTGCTGCGCTGCCAGGTGCAGGGGGATCTGGCCCTCGTCCGACGGGATGTTCACAGAGGAACCTGCCTTCAGCACCATCTTCATGGGCTCCTTCTTGCCCTGCCAGGCCGCGTAGTGCAGGGGCCGCATGCCTGCAGGGCAAGAACCGTGAGCCTTCCGTGTGCCAATGCCGTGCGGGGGCACGGGGCAGGGGGGCACGGGACAGGGGGTCCCCAGGAGCCGGGGACTCGCCTTTGTTGTCCTTGATGTCCACGGCAGCCTGTGCCTCCAGCAGCAGCGAGATGAGCTCTGTGTTGCCGTTAAGCGCCGCATGGTGCAGAGCCGAGAACCTGGGGATGGGGCTGGTGTCAGGGCCCACTGGCCTGTGCCCTCCGCAGCCCTGCCAACCCTGCCCAGCACCATGGCCTCAAACCTGCACCTCTGCAGCACCCGGGGCACCTGCTCTGCCCTCCACATGCGTGTGTCCCTGGGAGAGCCACCCCCAGGTCCCTCCGTGGGTTTTGGGGTGAGAGCTGCTGCAGGGCTGGCAATGCTGAGACCCTGCCGGGCTGGGGGTGCCGGGCAGGGCAGGCACCGAGGCTGGGGGTGCCAGGGAGCCCCCTCCCCACTGACCCACTTCCCCAGCCTGGCCCCAGCAGCCCGATGAGCACAGATGGCAGCGCTGCCTTGCCCGGTGCCGGGCCTGCCTGTGGGCTGGGGAAAGCCCCCAGCCCCGCACCCGCTCTGCTCTCACAGCTCCCGGAGCCTGGGAAGCAGGCCAGGAGCTGACCTACTTGTGCTCCCGGCAGTGGCATCCTCCGTGCGACTGCGCTGGCACCCACCGTGCCACTGCTCCGGGCCCTGGGGGGGAACGGTGTCCCCAGCTCCAGGCCCTGGCCAGGCACAGCGTCCCCTGCTCTGGGCACAGTGTCCTCTGCTCCGGGCCCTGGTGGGGCACAGCGTCCCCAGCTCTGGGCACAGTGTCCTCTGCTCCGGGCCCTGGTGGGGCACAGCGTCCCCAGCTCCAGGCACGACGTCCCCTGCTCTGGGCCCTGGTGGGGAACGGCGTGCCCTGCTCTGGGTCCTGCCTGGGCACAGCGTCCCTTGCTCCGGGCCCTGGCTGGGCACAGTGTCCCCTGCTCGGGTACAGCATCCCCTGCTCCAGGCCCTGGATGGGCACAGCATCCCCATCCTCTCCCCAGGGCCACCCCACTGTCCCCGGAGCACGGGAAGGGCCGTGGAGCCCCCAGGACACGCTGCCCCCCTGGCAGCCCGGTGCCCGAGGGCCAGGTGTGGGTGCCAATCCCCCGGCCCTTTCCCCAGGCCCCTGCTGAGGGCACACGTGCCGAGGGGAGCAGGCTCCGGGCCCGGCCGTGCCCACGGAGCTGCCGGCCCCATTCCCGGCGGGGAGCGCCCATGTGAATGGGGCAGACAGCCCGCACAGCAGGCCGATCCCCAGCGTCTGCCCGCGAAATGTCAGCGTTTTCTGCGCAGCCCGGTGCCCGCGGGGCGGTGTGGGTGCCAATCCCCCGGCCCTTTCCCCAGGCCCCTGCTGAGGGCACACGTGCTGAGGGGAGCAGGCTCCGGGCCCGGCCGTGCCCACGGAGCTGCCGGCCCCATTCCCGGCGGGGAGCGCCGATGTGAGCAGACAGCCCGCACAGCAGGCCGATCCCCAGCGTCTGCCCGCGAAATGTCAGCGTTTTCTGCTCCAGCGCCCTGCTCAAATCCGCTCAAGATGGTGCAAATCGCAGCCTTGCCCCGGGGCTGCCTCGGGGGCTCCTCTGGGCACCTCATGGCCCAGCCGGCCACCTCGGCCATGAGCAGGGCACCGGGGCCAGCACGGGGACACCAGCACGGGGACACCAGCATGGTGCTCACACCCTGCACCCCCAGCCGGGAACAAACCAGCACTGCCGGGATGGGGAAACTGAGGCACGGGGCTGGCTGAGCTCACACAGCCAGGCTGCAGCCTGATCCCGGGGGATGCTTTCCAGGAGCAGGGCTGGAGGCTGCTCCCCTCGTGCTTCAGCACCCCTTGAACCTTCCAGCCAGGCCCTGCCACGATGCCCAGCCCTCCCGTGGCCTGCTGGCCCTGCGGAGCACGAGGTGGCCCCTGGGGTGATGCCCCCTTGCCCCCGGCACAGCCATGAGCTGGCAGGTACCACGGGGTGCCCACTGCCACCACCCTGGTGATGAGGATGAGGAGGCAGCCGGGCTGCTGTGGCTGTACACCCCCGGGCCATGGTATCCCTGCTGCTCTCCCTGGCATTTCCTTGGCACGGCAGAGCCATCCAAGGGAACCAGTGGCATCACGTCGTGCTGCTGCCCCGCTCCAGGGGGATCTCAGGCAGGGGGAGCCAGGGGCAGTGCTGCCCAGCCCCACAAGCAGCACTGCCACGGCAGCCCCCCTGCACGGGCCCCCCGCCTCCCTGCAGCCTCATTAGTGTAATTAGCAGGGGGGCTCTGTGGCCCCTTCTGCTGCTCCCTCCCTTGGATGAGGCTGTGGAGTGTCACCAGTGCCTGGCGGGGTCACGGCTCTCCCACCCTGCACCCCGCAGGGCTGAGCTCCCGAGGAGCCCCACAGCGCTGGGAAAAGTGTGAGATGGGGGGCACAGCCCTGCCTCTGCCCCCGCTGGTGCCCTGGCTGCTCCAGGCCAGCTCCGGCTCCGGGGGCAGGCAGGGCTCAGCCCCGTGGGCTAACGGGGGCCAGAGCTGGCAGCTGGAGAGCCTGGCACTGCCACACGGACACCAGGGACTCCCACAGCAGGTGCACCCCCTGCTCACAGCCCCCCACAGCACCCACACCCGGCTGCAGCACCCACTCACCCATCCGTGTCCTGGAAGTTGACATTGACTTTCTTGGCTGATCCGAGGAGCTCTGGAAGGGAGGGAAGGGGACAGGCTGTTAGAGGAGGTGGCTGTGCAGGGACACGGGCACGCCAGGGAGGTGGCGTGGTGGCAGCTCCAGGTTTCCCTGCCTGCCAGGGCTGGGGCTCCCTGCGGCTCCACAGGTGCTGCAGGCAGGAGGCTCAGGGTGGGGGTCCCTGCTGAAGGTGGCAGAGCCCGGGGGCTCCTCCTGGCACCAGGTTCTGCCCATTCTGCCCTGGTTTCCCTGGGGTTCCCCCCTGGCTGCTCCACCCGGCTGAGGCTCCAGAACAGCTCCGTGCAGCCCCTGCCAGGCAGAGCCCAGCACGTTCCCCTGTACCCCCACCCCCCTGGCACTGCCCTCCCCACGCTTCTGGGAAATTAAACCATGCCAGGGCAATCCAATTAGCAGCACGAGGAAGGATGGAGCCAGATTTACATAAGATTTACCCGAAAAATGCCACTCAGGCTTTCCAGTGAGCTGCTCTTCCCACAGCGGGAGCAGGAGGCAGAGGAGGGGGGAGCAGCACGGCAGAGCCCGGGTGGGGGGCTCACACAGCAGCCCCTGAGCCCAACACAGCGAGCACAGCTCCAGCACGGCCCCAAGCCCACCAGGGAGGACCCAAAGGCTGCATGGCCTGGCAGGAGAATGGGCAAAGGCACCCGAACCAGGGACAAGCTCTTGTTGGGAGAAGCCGGCTGGAAGGGGCTACCTCAGGCAGGGAAGGGGAGTGTGGGGCCACAGGGACATTCCCTGTGCACCTTGGCCATGGCCTTGCTCCCTCCCCCTCCACCACGTCCCCTTGTCAGTGTCCCTGTGTTTATTGAATTGTTGGACACAAGGGCAGTGCCACAGCCCGGAGCCTCCGCATGGACAAACGGGGCTCAGAGGGCACCAGCAGCAGGAGAGGCAGCTGAGCCAGCCCTGCCCAGGCCACGCAGCACAGATGGGCACAGGAGTGGCCAGGACAGAGGCTCTGGCACCCAGAGCTGGCTCCCTCCTGCACCCCAGGCTGTCCGAGCTGCAGGACATTTGTTAATGCTGACACAGCCTGCTGTGACAGGTGACAACTGCAGAGGACAGGTTCTATCAGCCACAGCCACCACCCTGCAGCCAGCAGGTCCCCAGACTCTCCTCCCAGATGAGGAGTTCATGTGGGATGAGAAGGAGCACTGCAGGGCGCCTGGAGAGGGATGGGGACACCATGGTGTCCCCAGGGTGTGGGGAGGGACAGGAATGCCACAGGAGCCCCCAGATCCCACCCCTGCCACAGCATCCCCTCGAGGAGCTGCACATTACTGGTGGGCAGAGCCCCTGTGACACCAGGGCTGACCCAGTCCCTGCCAGCCCCGTGCTGCCGCCAGCGTCCCCAACAAAGGTGCCATTGAGCTGTGGTGGAGAGGAGCCCAGCGCCGCTTCCGCTGCCCCGCGCCAAGAGCCAGCTCCCAGAGAAGGGGCTGAGCTGATCCCAGAGAACGGGCTGAGCTGCCCCCAGGAGAAAGGGCTGAGCTGCTCCCAGGAGCTGCCCCCAGGAGAAAGGGCTGAGCTGCTCCCAGGAGAAAGGGCTGAGCTGCTCCCAGGAGAAAGGGCTGAGCTGATCCCAGGAGAAGGGGCTCTGAGCTGCCCCCAGGAGAAAGGGCTGAGCTGCTCCCAGGAGAAAGGGCTGAGCTGCCCCCAGGAGAAGGGGCCAAGCTGCCCCCAGGAGAAAGGGCTGAGCTGATCCCAGGAGAAAGGGCCGAGCTGCTCCCAGAGAAGGGGCTGAGCTGCTCCCAGGAGCTGCTCCCAGGAGAAGGGGCCGAGCTGCCCCCAGGAGAAGGGGCTGAGCTGCCCCCAGGAGAAAGGGCTGAGCTGATCCCAGGAGAAAGGGCTGAGCTGCCCCCAGGAGAAAGGGCTGAGCTGCCCCCAGGAGAAAGGGCTGAGCTGCTCCCAGGAGAAAGGGCTGAGCTGATCCCAGGAGCTGCCCCCAGGAGAAAGGGCTGAGCTGCTCCCAGGAGAAAGGGCTGAGCTGATCCCAGGAGAAGGGGCTGAGCTGCTCCCAGGAGAAAGGGCTGAGCTGATCCCAGGAGAAAGGGCTGAGCTGCTCCCAGAGAAGGGGCCGAGCTGCCCCCAGGAGCTGCCCCCAGGAGAAGGGGCCGAGCTGCCCCCAGGGATGTAAAGGCCAGCGGACAAAAGGAGCCATGGGTGCAGGACTGGCACCATGCCCAGCACTGGCTCCAACTTCCAGCCCTGAGACGGGCCCCACTCCCGCTGATGGCTCCTTGCAGACGGACAGACGGACAGACGGACGGCTGTCAGCAGGTCTGCAGTGCCTGGCCTTTCCCACGGGTTGATGCCAGCAAGGGGCTGGGATGGGGCAATGCCTGGGTGTCAGGGTGGGTTGGTGACGCCATTGGCGATCCCCAGGCACGTGCCACCCTCGGCACCACCAACCCACCCTCGCCCCAGCGCACCGTAGCGGCAAATTTTCCCTCCCTGCACCTGCAGGAGAGGCTGTGGCTGCCAAAATCTGTTTAGCACTTCCACCAGTGCCCGTGCCAAGTGCTTAGTCAGTGACTTCCAGCCATGCAGTGGTTTGACTTTCCTTAAAGCTCTGGAAGTGGCCGTCAGCACGCCGAAGGCAGCTGGAGCACGGAGCCCAGCTGGGGTCTCACAAAAACCCCGGCTCCCAGAGCAGGAGACAAGGATGGGTGCCCCGGTCACCAGGTCCACAGTGAGATCTGCAGCCTGTCTGGGGGTAACAAGAGCCAGGAGAGCTCATTAATGGCTGGGAATTAATGACAAGGAACATTCTTCCACTAACAAGGGAGAGAGAAGGGAGCTGAGTGCTTCCAATTAAAAATACCGGCTACAAAAGGAGATGGGCACGGTGGGGAGGAGAGCAGAGCTCCTTCATGGCCACACTGCCAGTGAGCACCCCGTGTGTCCTTGTTGGGATCACTGGGGGGTGGCAGGGGCCACCGAGCACCTGCAGTCACCATCCTGCCCTCTCCATGCAGGAGCCATCAGGAAGGTGCTGCTGCAGGGGTGGCACACCTTTGCTCAGACAGCCTGAGCCCCACCGCCATCCTTGGGACACCCCAATGTCCCCTCTTTGCTCCCCGTGGGCTGCTCAGCTTGTGCCGTGTGGGATCACAGGGCTCCCCTGATGTCTCATGGCCCAGCTCTCCACCGTTCTCAGATCAGTCTGCACCCCACACACCCCCTGGGGCAGGAGCACGATGGCATCCCCAGGAAAGGGGGCACACACAGGGCCTGGCACCACGGGGTGCAGCCATCCCCCGTGGCTGCGGTGTGTGCCGGGAGCCGCAGCGCCTGCCATGGGCACCAGCCGTCACCAGAGCCCTGCCTGCTCCCGAAATGCCCTCACTCACACACGGCCGCTGCCCGGCTGAATCACGCTCGGGCTGAGCGCGGCGCTCGGCGGGCAGCGCGCTCCTCGCCGGCCCCGGTGCCCGGCCCTGCGGCGGGCAGCGCACGAGCCGCTGGCACGTGCAGGGCTGGGCATGGGGAACAGCTCTGCCCGCCCCAGGGTCCAGCCACGCGGCACCGTGGCGCCTGGCACTGTGCCTAGCAGCTGCTTTGGGTGCCCCAGAGCATGCCGTGAGGAGACACCTGTGCCAGCCTCAGCTCTGGGCACTGCGATGCACGGCCATGAGGAGACACCTGTGCCAGCCTCAGCTCTGGGCACTGCCATGCACAGCCATGAGGAGACCCCTGTGCCAGCCTCAGCTCTGGGTACTGCGATGCACGGCCATGAGGAGACACTTGTGCCAAGCACAGCTCTGGGCACTGCCGTGCACAGCCATGAGGAGACCCCTGTGCCAGCCTCAGCTCTGGGCACTACAATGCATGGCTACATGGGGACCCCTGTGCCCAAGCAGGAATCCCAGTGCATGCCACAGGGAGAGCACTGTGCCAGTCACTGCTCCAGGTATCCCAGAACACGCCTGTGCCCAGGTGACCAGTGTATGCCAAGGTGGGACCTCCGTGGCCAAGCACAGCTCTGGGCACCCCAGTGCATGCTGCAGTGAAACCCCTGTGCCTGGCTGCCCCATCCCCTCCCTGCACGTGTGTCCAAGGCCATGACTCGGCACGGTGGGACTGCTCGGGGGGCTGCTGTCCCCTCCCAGCACCCCTCACGTGCCCCTGCGCCAGCCCGTGTCTGCAGCCAGCGCGGTGCCAGCGGCGATCGATGCCCGGCCGGAGCGTGGGGGCTCCCGGCCAAGCCCCCGCTGACGAAGCACATCCTCACCCGGCTCCCCCGGCAGGCAGCAGGCGGCTGCTCCAAGCAGATGGCTCCAGCCCCCGCTAAATCAACATCTCCTTAATGAGGGGAAAGCACTGCTGCCCCCTCCCCAGCATGGCGGCAGCGGATCAGCCAGAGAGCCCCCAAACCCCCTCTCCATCCCTTCCCTCTCCCCTCTGCCGTGACCCCGCTCCCCTCCAGCCCCATCCCTGCTCCTTCCCCACTCCCAGCTCACGTGGGCAGCCGGACCCCCGCGTGTGCCCCCCACAAGCACAACAGGAGCCCACAAGCAGTGAATACCCACAGGGAAGACATTCAAGGCAAGCGCCTGTTCCAGAGACGGGGGGAGGATCCTGCAGCGGCGTCGCTGCGAGCTGCCGGATAAAGGAAGCATCCAAAATAGCTGCTCTTAATTATATCCCTGCTAACGAGCGCCACGCAAACAACGGGCACTGCACGAGGAGCCCTGGCACGGGGGTGTCTTATCCTCACTGCGAGGATGGGGTACCCATGTGCCATGGGGGGACCCCACTGGGGCAGCCACGCCGCCCTGCCTGGGTCTGGTGGTGGCTGTGACACCGGGGAGCTGCTCCTGACAGGGAAAAGCTTGTACTCCTGCAGCCAAGGTCGTGTCAGGCGCTGGGGCCGGCGATGCTCAGATGCTAATGAAGCCGTTATCATCTTCCCATCGATCTGGACTGTATAAATAATGCACCGGGAAGCTCGTTGAACAGGGAAAGGGATTGCCTGGGGCTAAGAGGTGGCT